TATCTGCCTAAGGGCAGGAATGCCTTCGTGGAGGCTTTCCTAAGGAGAACTGGATCGCATCACGTTATGCATGGGGAAAACCAAACATACACTAGGTCGACTGTCTGGGATCGGACCCAGGACAAACTGCAAGTATACAATGATCTTAACTCTTCGGCCACTGGCGGGGCCTAACGCTTGAAGCATGAGAAGCATGCTAAAAATCAGTGCTCTTACTATACATTTCATAAATCTTTTGATGAAATTCTTCTTGTTTTCTGTCAACATCATGAAGACTTTTAAGAAAAATGCAAAAATGTGAGAGTAGAAAAATGTATTTCGAAGTTTATATTGCAGCACAATTTCCCAAATATTTTGCTATGTATTTGTTTAGGATCTTTATAATGTCTATAAAACTCCTATATTAAGTCTTACATAATAGCATTTAAGGCTTTTCTTATGGATGGCGAACATTTTTTCTATAATTTTGTGTCCCCATTTAATATCTATGCGTGAATATGTGAAATCCGATAGAATAAAAAGCTTTTTAATATTTAGCATCTGATAAGTTTGAAAGAATTTTGATGAAATATTTAAAATATTCATCATTCATATTCTTTATAACCTTTAAGTAATTATTTCATTTGACTATTTAGTATGAAGTTGGGTAAAGGAATTTTATGAAACTAATACGAATCTAAGCTGAAAAAATATTCTTTATAGGGTTTAGATTTTTCTCGTTTAAACCAGTCTTTTCTAATCCAGTACATATTAAAGCTTTTATTTAGTGACTAACAGAGCAAAGCGCTTCTGAGACCTGATTATGGTAGACATACAAATTTTAAATCCCCACATATTTGTCTGTCATATTCTTGCAGTTAAACACGGTAAAATGGAAGCTAAAATATTTGCTAGAACAGAACATTTTAAAAGCTCTCTTACTGGAATTGACGATCAGCCTTTGCCTAAAAGCATCAATAGCTTCTCTTACTGAAATAAACGAGCAGCATTTGTCTAAAAACATCACTTAGATAAACCCTCGGTTAGGTGAGGGATGATAATGATAAATGAATATGGGTGGAGAAATTTAGCAATAATTCCCGTGAAAAATTCTCTTACTTTGTGATATCTTTACCAATGCTTAGGGAACAAATACAAGAAATAAATTTTTAGTTTACAGTTTTGACCTTAGAAATCAAGCAATCTCTTTTGGTCAAACATTTTGCGAGATCATTTAAATCGTATTGATTGAATTGCTATAGCTTATCTAACCTTTCTGATGGCTTATATAGATCATCATGGCCTTTATCGTTCTTACTGATCTAAATTTGATGGTTAAGGTACAAGTAGGTTACATCGGTGAGCGAAAGGTTTGATGGTATGTAAGGATAAGATATCTTTTCTGTTCATTCGTTGCATTGACAAGAAAAGATAGTCTCTGGCTTGATAGCTTTCATCACGTCATTGGTACAGTAAACATATGAATTTTATCTAAATTTGTAGCTAAAGTGAATCTTAGTTTGACGTCTCTCTTGCAGAAAAATTGTATATATTTCGAGATAAATTCGTGATGAATAGAAGCTTTCTATGAAATTTCCTGGCTCTTCCACTAACAGAAGAATACTTCTTATCATCAACAGCATTTAATGGGTGGTGGGAAACGAGAATAGACAGTAAAGCAGGTTTAAAAATTAAAGTAACTGTTGGAAACTTAAAATAACTACTTCAAATGTAATACCACTTTAATAATGGAAAATATTGTTAGGCTTCTAACTCATAATTTGAAATAATAGTTTGGAAAATATAATTTGGATACTAATCATTAGATTCTAAGATTCTTCCAGATTCTTTAATATTTTCATAACGAAATTCTTCCATTCTATAAGGTATGTTATGTTAAATCTTTTTTTATTATTTGAATCTGTACTACAGCTTCTACATTTCGTTAGCCGTCATAAGAAAACAAACGAGTTACGACTATTTAAAGCTGTAGTTTTTTTTAATGTTTTAGACATAGAGCTTTTGGCAGCGACGCTTGCAGTTTTATTTTCTCTCGCCCAGCTTTGCCAGTTAGCATCTCGCCATTAGTCTTTTGCTGTCCGATGTAAAATAGCAACATTAAAAGTTTGAACCATGCTTAGTTAGGCCAAATTATGTAATCTCATGCTACGAATCCACTTTAGATTATAAATTCAATTCCAGCTGGTGTAATGGTCAGTGACGCTGACTCCCGTACCGCCGAGCCCGGGATTGAATTCCAGAGAAAGCATAGATGTTTGTAAGCGTATAGTGGCTGTGCGGCAAGGGGGCACTCAAAATACACAGCGTGCCGAAAGTTCTTTCGAGAGGTCAATGGTAGAGGAAGAGGGTTCAAACCACTGCCTCCCCCGAGGTATAGTTCCTCAAAATTCGGGCGGAATTGCAGCACTATTAGTGCGACGAGTCTATACCTTGTAGAGAAATTAGGTATTTTTGGAAGCAGGAGACTTGAAATATGAGCAACACCTTCGCGGAAATCGAACCACGCATCTCTGGAACACGCGCACAGCGTGCAGATCACCACACCAGGAAGACAAAAGGCGGGAGAAATACCTTATATACTCCTCCTTTTAAAGGGTAACTGGGGTATTTAGGGGACCCATTCACCCAAATCCTGGGTATGGGGAATCATCATCCACCACCCTTTTAGTTCGGGACCCACTGTAGAGACATTAGGTAATTTTTGGAAGCAGAAGAGATGAAAAATTAGCAACGCCTTCACGGGCAATCGAACCACGGACCTCTGGAATACACGCCCAGCGTGCAGACCACTACATCACGAAAGCACGCTAAGAAAGTGGGAGAAATACTTTATAACCTTTACGGGGAAATGCTGAAATTTTGTGTACCCTCTTCTACATATAACCTGCTAGTTAATAAATTGAGACTATACCTGTTTAATTATGTTAGCTACTGAGTGTCTTCCGTCAAATGTCATTTATTATAACACTTTCAAGTGGCAGAGTTTGACTGTAAGCATAAGTTGTGCTTCTGCTAGATTCAAGCTTTATACTTCTACAGACGGAGCGATACCTCGATTGGCAGTCTAGTAGGGTCAGAGGAACCTTTAAGTTATAGTAGTACAGAATTAGGGCCCTATAATTATGCCTATTTTCTTTGAAGTAATATATCATTTTACAGGAGGAACTGGCTTTCTTTGAAATGTGACATGTCATATGAATAGTATTTTTTACCATAGTAATTAATTGTTTGGAGTTTTTAATGTCAAAGTTCTTTCTACAGCGATTACAAAATTGCCATTTTGAAGATTTCACCCTAAATTCCTCTCATTTTAGTGAAGGATAAGTATTTTACCAAAATAAATTTGAGATACAGAAAAGAACATGAGTGGTCTGTTAATCTTCAAAATAAGAGCTGAAGAAATTTTGTCTCATGTCTAATGTGTGAAACTTTTCTCTAATGCTTTTTTAAACTGTTTCAGTTGTAAATCCCATACCCTTTGCCGATATTTCATTTTTATTTAGTAGTAAGATATTAAAAAAATAATATATTGAGTTTCGCTATTTCATTCACTTTGAGTTTTATCGAGTGCGAAATTGAAGAGGAATATATGAGTTTGTTATTATGGTGAGTAAAGATCAGTCATGCACCTCGCTCGAACGATATTCGAGAATGTACGCAAATAATGACGATAAATTTCCTCTCCTGTTACTTTGAAAATTAAGAGACCACACATCATGTTCTTCTCTGTATCTTAAATTTACATTAGTAAAATAGTCATCTTTTATACATTTTCCGTTATTTATCTGATAACAGAATTTATAAGACCGTAAAAAATGCAAAGAATTATCGATTCTCTCATTGTTTACTCTGCTGGTTTGAATGGTTAGCATGTTCAACTAGTAATTAGAGACCCGTTGTTCGACTCCTAACGCGAGCACAAAGGGTTTTATACTTTTCCCGCTTCGGAAGCCTAATCAATCTCTATAAACTAATCTATTAAACCTCTGAGTACTGTGAGCCTGCCCATTCATATTAAAGCTAGACTGTGTGCTTTTTATATTTGTATTTGATGAGAAAAGCTAACAGAGTTGCGTATTTTCATTATTTTATCTACAATGAAAAAAATTTTGAACAGACTTTATTTGTCAGTTTAAAGACGGAACGCTAATATTGTAGAGTCATTAGGTTAATTGGAAGCAGAAAAGATGAAAAATATGCATTCGCCTTCGCCGGGAATCGAACCACGGACCTCTGGAATACCGGCCCAGCGTGCTACCGTTCACCACGAAGGCACGCTAGAGGAGTGGGAGAAATACCTTATATACTCCCCTTTTTAAAGGGCGACTAGGGTTTTAGAGGACATAGTTGCTAAATCCTGGGTGCGGAGAATCATCATCCACAACCCTTTTAGTTCGGGCGTCACTTGTAGAGTCATTAGGTATTTTTTAGAAGCAGAAAAGATGAAAAATATGCAACCGCCTTCTCCGGGAATCGAACCACGGACCTCTGGAATACCGGCCCAGCGTGCTACCGTTACACCACGAAGGCACTCTAGGGAAGTGGGAGAAATACCTTATAATATTATTTTTAGTTTTACGCATTTGACTCTAGCTAAATGTATTTTCCATCAACATTCTTAAAATTCGCTTTCTTAAAATTCACTAACCCCCCCCCCAAATCAAATGTTTCATATTACGAGAGGTATGCAAAAGATATTTTGTTAATGTGATTATCCAAGTAAGAGAATAAGTATTTAACCTGCAAATAATAAGTTATGTTAACCTGCATTTTCTCATTGAGAATAAATACAAACTAGCATTACCGAGCCACAGATCATATGATTTAAAAATCTCAGTATCATCCAGAGATTATTAACCACGCATACGCGAGAATATCCTGGTTACAGTAGTAAGAGACGCCTATCTTAATATACAATACTTCCGTCCTGATAGCTTCGTAAAATATCATAAAATTTTTAGATTTCGACACTTCAGACAGCCGAGGATGGATGAGCCGGATTCAGACCTGATCAACGAACGACCTTTGCGGGGTGAATAAGCATTCTGATCTGCGAGTTGCGCCAGGCGCATCGTTTCCATAGTAACGTCTACAGTTCATTCACAACAAAATATTCATATGCACGATAGACAATCCTGAAAAATCGTAGCTTATTGTGTACACCTCAATGTTTGATGTTAAGGATGTGGATCACGATATGTGTTGTGAAAGTTTCCTGTTTGGCAGTTTTCAAAAGAAATAGTGAGCGACCGGGAGTGCATTGAGGTAAACTCCGTTTGTCTTATTATTGTGACTATAATACTTCTTAAAAATTAAATAATGATATTATGAGATGAAAAATAATTTTTATTATTTAACTTTTTTTCTTATTTACGCGCATAACATATTTTAACTTTTCCTTATTTCACATAATAATGAAAATGGGTATACTGATCAAATTCAAAGAAAAGAAGTAACCAGTGGTAGAAAAGTTTAAAGGCTCTGTTAAGCATGTTGAAAGGATTTTGTGTAAACACGTAAATATGTCTCCATCTCCATCTCCAACTCTTTCGCAACAGAACAATGAAATTTATTTTCCTTACAAATTTGAAGCTCATTTAAAGTACCTGAGAAACAGGAAATGTTAGATTTTGGAATGCTAGAAATGTTTAGCTTTAATTTTCACGAAACGAAGTAGAATAATGCAGAAAAATGCAGTATCAAATAACAGACTTGCATTTTTATGCGTTCATTATGTAACGAAAATAAGAGGGCTAACTTCTCTGTGCAAGAAAGATGCTTTTTCCGGAAATATTCATTCATCAATGGTACCAGTTAATTGGTATTTATTATCTCCATATCTGATTAACAATAAATTTTTATTCTCAAAGATAATTATAAGCTTAGTATAATAGTGTGTTACAAAGCTTGATCCACACATCTGTAATTTTGGATTTATTAAAAATTTATTTATTTATTTTATTTTTTATGTTAAATGATATACTGTAAAATGATGAATATCCCGAAACTATTACGAAAATTACAGATAGAACACGCTCTTTCTTTTTGCTTTATGTAATAAGCTTTCTTCATTCTGACGTGCAAAAGGAAATATTTTTTAATATTTTGCTTCTGATATCAAATTATCTTTCAGCTCCAATGCTTTATGGAAAGCAGTTTTTATTATTAGTGCAATTACCTTTTTTAATTAAATTTCTCATATCTGATGTGTATAAATAACAATAAATAAAGGATACTTTTAAGAAAAACATGTGACACAGTGGATTTATTCAGATTACTGATTGCATATCCAGAATTTTCTCTGTAAAAATGTATAGCATAAAAGGATTTAAGTCATGTGAATTTCATTCCTAGATTTTGTAATTAAACAGTTTATCTGTTTTCGAGCATCATTGTTACTTCACTTTGACTGTAATTTATTGGTAATTTAAGACTATCACGACAAAATAATATCTTCCAACGCATGGAAAATTATTCATAAAGAAGTATGGATAATTGTTTTCTAGTATCTGAAGCTTTGTTCGAATTTGCTGAATCTATATTGGCATTTTAAGCAATAGAACTGTACCATTAACATAGTAATACTTCTGTACATGCAAAAAAGTATAATAATAATAACAATGCGCATAGATGGCGTACTTGGTGATAAGAAGGTATTTGAGACTTTATAAATTGAAAAATGCCAGTTACAATAACCTATTAATATATAGATATGTATGGTACTAGCAAAGCATGAATTTCGGCATTTTATAGCATATATAGCCATTTTATGAAATGTTGAAAACTGGCCGACCCAATGTACGAAAGGATTAAATATTTTACGCAATGTCTAGGCAGTCTATAGAATGCTAAATGGCAAACCGAAGCACAAAATTCATTTTTATATTATATACAATGCCTAGGTAAAGCATATAATAATTCGTGCAGTATATTAGCAGTTATAATGAGCGGGATAGAGGATAGTTTTCACAGACTTGGTTCTTCTGAAAGAATTTTAAAACGATTACATGCGAGATCACAATTCATTTTATGTTCTAAGAACTTGCATGTAATTGAAGATATTTCTGGCCACGAAATTCCTCTCTGATAAGTTACAGTTGCTCAGCCCAACGGAAGTGGCCAAAGATTCGTGAAGTGTATGTGTAAAACGAATGTGGAAATATGAAATGTTTTTGTATAAAAAAAGTAATGAAATGTAATTCAAAATGTCATTCAAACCTACCATATTGCAACAAATAGGTTAATTTTAATTTCTCATTTTTTTATAGAAAAATTTTGTTTTCTTTAATAAGAAAGGCATAAATTTTGTTCCATACAACATTTATTTTACTTTATGTATTTTGAAGAAAACATTTTTTAAAGGCCTTCTTTCGCTGCTTTTTCAAAATAACGTTTCTCGTTTTGAGGAATGAACTTCTTTTAAATAACAGCGTTATCATGACCCTTTTTTCCATGCTTTTCCTAAAGAGCATTTGCCATTCTGTAGAATGCCTCGGTATTATATACAGAGCATAGGTAAAGTACATGACGATTTTCATATTTCATACTTTGCCTAAAAAGGCCAGGTATTCTATAAAATGCCTAGGCGTTGTACAGAATGCCGGAATTTCATACTTTGCCGGCAACATATGTATGAAATTATAATTTTAATCTGAAACAGCCCCTAATGTCTTCCTTCTAATATAGGTATTTATCGTTTTTATCAGCAATGTAGTAAACTGTTTATAATGAATGCTTTCTGTACTGCAAAATTTCAAAACTGATTCTTTCATTGTAATTCTATTATTATAATAATTTGAGCTGTGGCTATCTAGTTAATTAAGTGCCTCTCTGTGAACGTTGCCTTTTCTGTGACGGCGAGTTACCTCCTTTAACTTAAGCTGGATGTGGAAACAACAGACACACAAAATGCAAAATATATTCTCATATCTTCATTTTCTAACTGCTGGTTAGCTAACGCAAAATAACACGAATATTAGAGCTAAATCTTCTTGACTTACAAATTTGGCTGGTACGGGCAACAATTTAACTGGCTTTAAAGCAAGTGCTCCTACTCGAAGTTACAACTATCAACTGAGTCTGACAACCTACTTTACTAAAGTTCACACTTATTAAAAACCTAGCCGAACAGCGGCTTCGCTTAGAAGCAACAGCTAAGGTAAAGACTACAAATTATGAAAGTTTTGATTCGTTCTTCTCAATGTAAGTAAAAATCCGCGTAAAACTCTGTACTGAGTGAGATCGCGAAGAAAAGAGGGAACTAAAAAAGGCCTAAAAATCGCAACTTTTAATTAAACCTAAATGAAATATCAGACTCGCTCCTTCAAGAGCGAGATATTGAAGTCATCAAATGAAATTTTTGAAGTTTATATCTTGCTAGCTTTCTACATTTTTCCGTTCGGACCTGAAAGAGGAAACAAAAACGTCTTTGAAATATTTATATACAGTAGCATCTCTTCAAATCACTAAAGCACACGTATCTCCTATAAGACAGCTACTTGCAGTTTGCACTGATGTGCTCTACGGCCATTGTCTATGTGTGGACGATCCTGAAATATTCATATTGTGTTACCGCAAACTTTAAATCCACGGTACATAACCTTTAATACTGAGAGACTAAATTCGAGTACACCCAAACACTGCAAGGTCTCCTAATATAGGAAAAATGGGCAGAATCCTAATTTTATGTATTGGCTTTAGATACTAATTACATACTTTAAATTATCGAAACAGATTTATAAAACATTTATAAGAATCACTAATCTTTCATTATAGCATTCAATACATCTGATAAAAGCATTTAACTTTCATATATCTTTCTAGAATTACAGACGGTTTACAACATTAGAAAGGTAGTCTGACTTAGATCAGATACTTTAAATGAGCAAGATTTTTAGGCTGCCCTATATTCATCTAAGGTATTTAATTTTTGCATTTATATCTTTGAAAAATATTGAATAAAAAGGTAAAAGTAGTTTAAAATAAATGTAAAGGAAAACTGCTATTGAATTTAGATAAGTCATAAAAATTTGCGACGGAAAATGTATGCATCCCAAAATTGCATATTTCAATAAAATTTAACTTTTAAAATATATAAAATTGCAGAAAAATGCTTTGCTTGTTACGCCATATTTTCAGTTTTTGTTTTTGAAATTCTTTGTTGCTATTTCACTCAAAATTTTCGGATGCAAAATTAAATATGCTTTGAAAAATTTACCTGTTTGTCTGTGATGGTAAAATTTCAAACATAGATGCTAGGGCTGAGTCTTATGAACCCATAAATAAAATTAAAATTTTGGAAAATACTTTTAAAATACACAGAACTGAATACAAGAAATACTGTTATAGAAAAGATAAATGATTTTATTTTCAAATACAATTGGCTTAATATTTTCACTGGTAATAATGAAGACAGCAAGATACGTATAAATAAATCCTTAAGCAAAACGGGATGCTCGTGTTTACGAGATATAAAGTATACTAGCTAAAGTCACTAATTTTTGCATTACATGAAAAAATAATTACTACAGGCTACACCATGTTTTAAAAATTTATGAGAATTTGAGAAACATGAGTTTGATTTTCATGCAGAGTCTTGGTCTAAAGAAGAACACTGAATTATAGACTGTTTTGATCTTCTGTGCTGTTAGAGAACATTATCAATGATATTCAGTGCAATTATTAACACGTCTTCGAGGCAATAAAAAAGGAAAATAAATAAAAACATTATAATAAAATGAAAATAAATGAAAAAAATTATAAATTAATAAACGAAAATGAATAAGAATTATAAGAAGTGTTATTTTCATTTAACGGTAAATTCCTCTTCGTTATAAACAAAGAACAGAAATTCGAATGTACAGTGTTTGTACTCGACACGCGAAATTCTTGAAGAAAGATCAGTATAACAAAATTACTGTATTTGTTAGTTTTCTTCTAGACAGCCAAAATAAAATTTTAGAGATTTAATAAAGCAATAACGAATAGTTAGTTTTTGTTCAAAAGTTTACTATATGTTATTTCAAGTTATTTGACTTCGCTTGATGTGAGCAAAACAGAGTACGCGAAATTTAAGATTGCCACGTTATGTAAGGTAAACAAGGGAAACATTTAAAACTGGGTGTAAAATATTATTTTTAGTATTCAATCTTAAATGGTACTTTATCTGTGGGTTTGCCTTAAGATGTTTGGCCTAAGATGGCCAATACAGCTAGCTCTAAGGAATCCTATTACAAACTGCCATTAACTTCCTTTCCAGAGTTATC